AGTTTGTCTATCAGACTGTCAAACATGTAATCAGCTACCAGTACATTGTCAACAACAGAAACTTACTTCAGTAACTCCGAGTCATCATAGGCCACCTGTTGAAGGTGCACATCATAAATCTCACCATGTCTCATAAAGTGAGGCAGAACACTGTGTGAAGTGTCTTGGGCATCGGAAACACAATTGGACATCTAAATACATGAATTGAGTGTGTCAGGAGATGCAGAATATTAAAGAGAAAAGTATACACACAATTAAAACACTTGAACAATGAGGTAATGTTGATGAAAGACAAATTACCATTGAAGAGCCTTTATATGCTGCCTAATGATCATACACGATTTTCGGATCATACACTGCCCAGACAAATCAGAAAAAAATACCAGCATGCACATATTACCACCTAGTCCATTTATGTGAAGTTGGAACAAATTTCACATTGTGGTGATATTTTTATGGCTAGAACGATTGCCCACCATAGGCAAGAGGTGCAAGATGGTCTGTGACAAGATCCAGAGTTCCTGAGATGACCCTGTATGCTCCATGCAATGGATTCTTTAAGAAGAGGTTACCAGACATGGTATAAACCCTTGTGAATAGCCTGTTTTTTGTGAATGAGAATGTGGAAGTGGAGGAAAAGTTGAAAGGTCATCGAGGGCTTAGCGATGATGACAAAATCATACATTTAGCTTGACTGGGAGCACTTATTTCATTTATATCTCTTCGGGTTCTCATTCATTCGGCACAATTTCGTGAGACAGTGATATTTCGACTATCCTCTATATGATAACAAAAAATGCAAGGCCATAGATGTTGTGATTGGCTAGATAAACACTGGGTGACCCATTACTAGGGTCTGACCTATTGCTTACTCAGCCACAGTACCTCTTGTACAACCTCTCAGTGTTGCTCCCTATTGCCATTTGTGAATACAAGGATATCATCAATATAGACAACTACGGTCTTTCCATCAATTAAATCTCTGAATATCTGGTTCATCATTGTTTGAAACATGGCAGGGGAGTTTGTCAACCTGAAGTACATAACAGTTGGTTCATGGTGACCAAACAGCATTTTGAAGGCCGCCTTCCACTCATCTCCTTCTTTCATGTGAATATTGTTGTACCCCCATCTTACATCCATCTTAGAGTACATCATGGCACCGGTTAAAGCATCAATTAAATCTTGAGATCTCGGTAGCGGATACACATTTTTCACCGTCTTCTCATTGAGCTTTCTATAGTCCATTACCGGCCTTAACTTGCCATCTTTCTTGGCCACAAAGAAGAAAGGTGCTGCCACTGGAGACTGTGAATCTCTAATATGTCCCAGTGCGGTCTCAGCTTTTAACCAATCTTTCAAGGTATCCATCTCCTTAGGTGACAAGGGGTAGGGTTTCGCATTTGGCAGAAGATCACCATCGTTCTTAAGATCTATTGCATGATCCCATTTCTTTCTTCAAGGGAAGCGCTTAGATTCTTCTTCTGAGAAAACTCCCAGGTAATCGTGAAGCCAATTGGGAACCATTTCTTCAACCAATTTCTTCACCTTCGTTGCTTCTTCTGCAACCTTCTGTTCTGTGGCGACCGAGGCTTTATACTTGATCCATTCTCCAGGATATTCTTTGTCTTCTATTTCCTCAACTGTTGCCCTTTCATTGCCATGTCTTCTTTGTCATCCTCTTCTGTGGGAATCAGATCTGGCACTTCTTCCATCTTTTTTTGTTCTTTTCTTTTTTCTCTATTTTTTTGTCTTTGTTCTTTTTTAGTAATACATTTAACCAGGCATTGAGAAAGTGCAAATTGTCCAGTGTTCCAATCTATTTCCGGGTTGTGATATCTTAGCCAATCTATGCCGATAATAACATCATCGCTTCCTAAGTCCGTAACCATGAAAGCTGCTTGATCCTCAACATGATGACTAATCTTTAGACCTAATTCTGTGAAGTGTGTCATTGATCCAGCAGCATTTAGCGAGCTGTTGATATTTTTAACTGGAATGGGTCTTAATAATTTACGACACTGGACCTCATTCTTTTTTACAGACTTTTCACTAATAAATAATGTTGATGCATCACAATCCACTAGTGCTTTCACATCTGCTTGTTGGTTCTTTCCTTTCAATGTAATCGGAATATAGAAATGCTCAGATTTTGATTTAATATATACTTCTGATACATCTGAAAATGTAGATAGAATGGAGAAATAATTGTTTGGGTCTAAGTTCGCAGACTTTAACTTCGACCCTTCTAAAAATCCTTGCCTTTCTCAGACTTAATCCAGTCCTTGAACCAACTCAGCATAGATTCCTCTTGTGGCACTGTAGTAGCCTTCACCTGCGCTTTTGGTGCGACTGCGTCTTTGCAGTTTCTAGCCATATGGCCTTCTCCTCCACAGTGGTAACATTTGAAAGAACCAGTCTTTCCTTGAGGTTTGGGAGTGCCTCGCTGTTTGCTGGAGTCAACGTCCATGGCATCGCTATCCTTACTAGGGCCAGCCTTGTATTCAGGGTTTTTGGGGCCTTGTTTAGGGGTCCACCAAGAGGTCTTCTTCTTGTCTGTGTCTAGCTCTTCAAAATTGTGTCCAATTTGGATTGCGTGTTCCACCAGTTTCTTCATGGTGTCTTTGTCCTTGTAAGGGACATGGGCGAGCTGCATTTTAACACAGTCTTGAAGTCCCATTCTGAACTTCTGGCATTGGTCGTAGTCGGAGAAATGTGTGTGTGCAGCTTTTTGTCTGAAAGCAGCTGCATACTCTGGAACTGAGGATGATCCTTGTCTTAAGGATTCCAGTTCTTGGACCACCTTTCCTTCTCGGTCTTCTTGTCCCCACATGGCTTCTAGATCCGCTTTGAAAGCTTCCATAGTGAGTTTGTCTTCTCCAGTGTTTGGGAGTCTTGCAATGTAAGGTTGCGCCCATTCGGCTGCAGTACCTTTCATAAACGATAGCATAATCCCTATCTTCTGGATTTCTTGGATTGTAGGCCATTGTGAGGCGTACAATGCTACTTGTGCTATCCAAGTCTGAAGTTCAACAGAGTCTTTTTCTCCTGTGAAGTCCATGGGTTTGGCATATTTGATGTTGGGGGTGGATGATAAAATGCTAGCTCCTACGGAGCCAAAGGATGGTTGTTGAGACTGTATCTTCATAGTCTTGTCTTCTTGCATTTCTAGGCGTAGCACAAGATCTTTGTTTGCTTTTTCTAAAATCACGTTCTTTGCTTCTAGTTCTACGACTTTAGACCTGAATTGATCCGCCTGGTTTGCAAGTGCTTGGTGTATGTATTGCACTACCTGTTCAGGGGTTGTAGGTAGCACAACTTGCGCAGTTGGTGATGGTAATTCAGACATAGTGCCAGTTGTGTTCTGGAACCTGATTCACTGATGTCTGTTTGAAGAGCTGCTCGTAAGGGTTCTTCCGGAAGGGAATGATGGTGAAAAGAAGAAAGTATTCGTAAATGGAAAACTGAAGCGGTCCCCAATATCTGATCGGATCTACCACATACTTCAGGGTCAAAGGGTTCTTTAGTCAACCCAACTGACACTTCCCTACTACTGACTAAAAAGGTTGGAAACTATACTTGATCAAGTAGGGACAATGCAATCTCCGTTTTGAGGGTACAAGCCTAGGACAAGTTATCACTCTTCCAGCTGAAGCTTACAAGTGCGAGTCTCACTAGGGTATGTCTCTAAATCCTCATAGGTCGAAAACACGGTTTGTCATCTAGACAGTTCTGCTATTGACTCGAAACGAGTGCCTATGTGCATAATGAAAAAAGGGTAGGTAAAAGGAAACTATAGTGACATTGAGCAGGCAGGGTCTTGGGCCAGCACTCAAAGTTGTAGTGAGACGCCTAATGTCATCAACACCTCTGTATACTGGCGGCTGCAATAAGACAGGGCCTGGTATAGGACTACTAACTACGAAAATAGATAGGTATGAAGAATGTGCTCAAATGAGCAAAGGATGAATCAAAAAGTCGCAGTGTTTAGACCAGGCAAAAAGAATAACAGCTTTGTCTTGGTTAACAATATGGATAGAATTCCAACATGGTCAAGCAAGAGAAAGAGATGTGCGAGAGTGTAACACGAGAGTCGGAGTCTCCTATAGTTTAAACCTAATGTCACAACCCAATAAACGAATTAACGCTGGGCAGAGACTAGGACTCGAACAAAAGATAATCACAACAAGAGGAGGCAAGAGGTTTGAACTAAAAAACTATTGACTACAACTGTCTACCTATATATACATATTGAAAACTGAGATTGGAACTGAGTATGAACTAACTAACCAATTAGAATAATTAAAGGTATTGTACAATTCTATATATAGCTATGATATCATAACATGTGTCGCAGCCACAGTAAGACTCTGGAACATTCCAAAAGGGTCACGTGGTGTGAGATCATCCTGTTCGGTATCTTCCGAAAGGTCACGTGACTTTGGTAACTCTATAATAGATGCAGTCATGGAGATCTCTTTAACCATAAATACATTCTTAGGAACAGGCGCTGTGACTGGGCGCTTAAAGGACTTAGAATTTAGGAACATATAATGGTTTGTATTTGGAACTCGTGGCAGGCAGGTGTGATTATGGACTCAGAGGATGTGACTATATGCTATCTTTGAAAGCATGATACTGGGGGCAGGAACCAATTTGCCTAAGGTAGCAGCTGTGCAGATTCTACCTTAACATACCTCATGTGACAAGTGTGACATCAGCAAATTCCCTATGAGATTGCATAAGATTACAATATTTACCTATATATGAGAACTTGTAGTTGTATTACAAATCAGTGCAATCAATTGTGGTGACTGTAAACTGATTGTGTGATGTTTACAATATCATGATTCCTGTCAGTGAATACAATCCCTTCATAAACCATCTGCAGAACTGCACACTTAGATTCTTGGATCAATTAGTGGAAATAATGGACTTGTAATTATTTTTGCATCATGGTACCAGTAAGGCTCATTCAACTACACTAATTTAGTTATTCCATGTGCAGCCAGTTGCACTTCCAACAAGTGCACCCTTCAGGCTTCCTCACAGTGCTTGATTTCTGCTTCCCAATGGTCCAACACAAGCCTATGCATGTATATCTGAGAGACCACTAGGGGTGCTGGAGCTTTATGGTAGGAAGGGATAGGCAGTGTCTCTGGCACCTTGGCTACTACTATGGCAATCATATACAGAGGGACAGATGAAGTGGCCAATGGCCTGCCAGGTTTGTTAATAAACTTTGATAGTAGTATCCTCCTAATCAGTTTGTGCCTGCATGTCTATTAGGAACAAGAACAAGACCTCCATAATAATCAAATGACAGGGAGGATAAGCAATATGACATCTATAAAACTATTTGCTTGTTGGCCCCTTGCATCATTGATGAAGTCCAGAGGGCAGGATGTTTAGTTATTGGCTCTATGGTAACATTATTGCATGCTTTCATGGCATAAGTTTATCTGAAATTTCGCAGCTTAATGATACATGCTGATGAGCTTGTGGGGATGACATCAATAGCATCAAAGAGAAGATTGTGCATTGGTGCCACTTTCTAAGTATTAATCCTTTGGTCCTTATCTCTATATGTCACATTCTTGGTTTCAATAACAAGCACATAGGAAAACTGTTGTGCTCTGAAAATTATGACTATTCTGATCCATTGTGAGTGTTCTTTTTCATGAAAATATTATGGTTGGACTCAAGACAGCCTTCAAGAGTTCAAAATGGCCTTTGTGACAGGTCAATGGTAGTTACATCTTCATAGTTCCCCTGTTTGCTTTGGCTTAACATGGTAGTTGACCCTAATGACTTTTTTAAAGGCTAGTTGGAGAATGAGTTGCTTGTTCAGGTGAGTAGTGTTACTCTGTACTAAGGTCAACCTGACAAGTTTTTCAAGGGCTACTTGCATATTTTAAAGTCTCCTAGTTTGGTGATTCATTTAGATGTTGTGTCAGACAGGCTTACCACATGACATGGAAATGCTGCACTTCATGACATTTAAACAGTTAGCATTCCATCAATTATATATGTTGTGACATTGGTAAGTGTATCAGGCTACTGGCTTCTTAAGTTTGTGTCTCACTAAGGTGTTTGTAGATTTGTTTTGTACTCTCTTCTTAGGGTAGCATGTCCTGTGGTCACAAGTCTCAATTCTCTTATAAAGCATTTTACAACAATATTGTTAGAACGACCTTTGAAGCACTTGATGATGGTAAACTGGCAGCATTGTGCATGTAGTGGAACAGGTATGAGAATTCTTTGTATTGTATTATTTTTTATCTCAATGATGTTCATCTTGGCAGGCATATATTCTCGGACATCATAGATTGTGACAAGGGGGATGAGGGTGAGGATAGTGTGATAACAATGATGAAGGCTCAGACAGCAGCAAGAAGGGCAGCTACTAGTACAGTATAATAGTTTCACATTTCCTATATCATTGTAGCTGGCATTGTTTGACAGTGAATTTATCTTTTAAATATATTTCATTTTGATTCTCATTGTAGGGCAATGGTAGCATGATTACCTGTCTTGACCACAGATTTATATTGTGTGTGTAATGATACTACAATGGATGCAATATTTTGAAAAGTTGCCAGTTGTTGCCAAAATTGTGTGAGCGCAATTTGATGACAATCAAACATAATTTCATAAAGAATTTTCTGATGGATGAAAAAGTGACTGAAGACAAAATTTGTAATATCAATTAATCAGGAGCCTTATGCATCAAACAGCTACTCAGTTACATTGGTAGTAATACTGCAGATATTTTCTGTTAATTTAGAACTAACAGAAATGGAGTAAAACATTTATTATTCGAAATATCCGAAACTGTTATTAGTGGAGTATAAAGTCAATGTGCTGTGTCATATTGCTGATACTATCCTTGCACCATGGGCAACAAAACATATGGACAGAAGTGCTCAAGAGACAACCTGGTATTAGTACGAGCATTAAAGAAAAGGTAAAAGACTTTAGTTCTGTGTTCTGTGTCAGAGAATAATAAAAATGTAAGTAATGCACCTCATAAATAGACTAGACAATCTACATTATTTTGCACATACTAACTAATACTTATATGTTTGACTAACTAATTATTTACACTAGCAGTATATATTTTATCTTTGAGCTCGATACATACAGTAGTACCTTATTTATTTATTCTTTATGCTTGCTTGTGCACATTCAGCATTACTTGGCATATGCTTACATACTTATCCTGCATAGCATCACAGTCAGTTACAACAATGTGAGGTAGGTAGAATCCATATGACTGCTACCTTATGGGTCAAATGTTGAACCCAGTGTAATCTCAGACAAACTCAGATCACTTTTGGTTTTGGTAGAAAATATTAAATTAAGTTTTTGCTTGCATTTTCCTTAGTTACTATTAATTTGAGTCATTCTTTCACATATACCTTCTACTCAGTGTATCTACACATTTTGATCTAACATTATATCTACCCTGTCATATGTTTTTGTTTTAATTTTTCCATGGGGCCACATGATGACCACATTTTCAACAAGTCATAAATTTATATTTTGAGTAAATTTCAACTGTAATGAATCTTTATTTAATCATTTTTCATTGAAATCAAGCTAATAAGTTTTTGTCTATAAATGCAAGCAACATATTACCTTGATTCTGATCACATTTTAAATAGTTTTTACCCTATGTTCCTTCTATTTCTATGCTTTTGTTCCTCTGATATATAATAAAGATACATTCTACCAATGTTAATTTTCACTACTTATATTTAGTTATATGGCAAGCCTTAGCAAGAGAAAATGCCAAGCAATTAGTTAAATAATATTACTAGAATAACATATCAGAGTAGATATAAAATTGAAACAGGTGATAACATACCTTTAGTTTTGTATATAGAAGATCAAGTGCTTAGAGACAGTGATGGTCTGCCTATGTGACACTTAGTTAGACCATATAATAGGCCTAGCTTATCTTGAGGCATTCTAATTAGTATGATCTGCAGGATATAATAGTACTTATGCTCCTACTTTTTTATCTTGTTTGACCTGACATATGATTGGAAAATTTTCAATTAAGCAGTTATGCCCCCCCTTCCATCAGCTTTTCTGAACCCTATCCTAGGAGTCTCCAAACATGTTTTGGTCAAAAGTCTAGTTAGACTTTACCCAAATACTATATCAATTGTTATTACTAAAATCTAATTATCAATCAACCTTTTATTTACTTTATAAAACAAACTAAACTTATCTAGAGCCTAAAACTAATTCAGCATGTACACTCTATACTTACTAATAACCAGACCTCATACTCTATTATAAATTTAATTCGTATGTCTCTCAATGTCTTCTTACTCTAGAAAATTTCCATTGTCTGGGCACAGAGACCATGAAGGATGGAAAATGGAGTTTAGCAGGATTTGAATAGTAGAGAAAAAGCCACAGGAACTTAGATATCTGGTGTCAGTAAAACAAATAAATAAGTGAAAAGGAAAGTTTAAGGTTTTTGGAATAAGTATAACTAGTATTAGAATTTTGAACCCTGAACTTTACAGAGTTATTTTTTCAAGCCAAAACATAGGTCAGTTTTGTACTGAATACAGGCAGGGATAGGGGGTTTGTCCAGGAAGTGTACAAAATCACTGTAGAAATGAGAAAATAACCAGACCCTATCTGGACATGGTTAAGCTGTTTGCCTAGACACAATCTATACCTAGTAGTCTATCTGTACTTGAAATAGATGTGAGGAATTCAGACATTGCAAAGGTCAGAATTTGGAGAAAAATGGACTCACAGTTAGAGACGACATGGTGTAAACTAGACTACACACACCTTCTCACCACCAAACCATATATATCCAAGTAGTGTTCTAAACCAGACACTAACCAGGATACAAGTACCCTCAAAAGATGTATCTAGATGTTGGGATAGCCCAAAGTATCAAATCACCACAAAAATTGACAAGTCTTTTCTTTACTACTCACTTCACATCCAAATCATGCTCATGTTCTAAGACCACACCATATGCCTCAAACTACCTCTCAAATACCCTAAAACAATATGTGTCACATTTATTCCAGACATATCTGGGCCCCTTGTATGTTTTGTTTTATTTATTGTTGAAAAATTAGTGTCTCGTGTTGCTAGATAATCAAAATTGTACTATCCACTTGCACAACCACAAGGTCTCCCAAGATACTCAAGGAACAAGGTATGTGCACATATTTTTTGCATCAGATGTTGCTGAGACATTTCTAGCACTTCCCCAACATCTGTGCATATTTATTGGCCCAGGAATAAATGATTCTTCTGTGAAACCGTCTATTTCTAAAAATCCACCCATCATGGACATAGTAGGAGGTATGAAATGGCCCCAAGATCCAAGGCCACTGTATGGTATTAGATGCAGATTATATCCAGTGGTTTGGTCAAATTGGTGAGCACATATTTGGTTTAATTCAGTGTACATTGATGATGACAAAGTCATCTCCAGGAGCGGGCTCAGGATTGTAGCACTTTTCTCCTGGATTGTGACCAAGCTGTACATGCAAGCCAAGTGACTGTGACTTCAATAAGATCCAAACAAAAAAGTTTCATGCCACTCCTAAGGTAAGATATCAATAAGTACTGGAGGATAGACAGATATACAAAATACACCTCAATTCTATGGAGCGGATTGTGTGTAAGCTTGTCAAGCACACACATACAACACATCATTTCAACTCCAAAGCAATCACAATGATGGTACAGCAATTTTCCTTCACCTTTGCAATTGCATTCATTTTGCAGAATGTCATTTCTATGGCCCTTCAAACAGATCGCCTCATCTAAGTAAGATGACTATTCTGGTATCCATTGACATAAGGGCCGATTCTGTTGAAGACTTAGGTGATGACCACACGCAGAAAATCAGAAACATATCCATTGTAGGTACAACAATTCTGATGGTGATTCAGAACAATATGTTGGGTCTTGCAGAACCTAGCTGCTATTCAACCCTAAAGAGTTTCTGGACCAGACTCAAGACTCAGAGAAGAGAAAATATGATAGAAACTTGCTGAAGACTCAGACTCATACTGGTAACTGGTGAAAAGATAACTTTCTTATGTAAGCTACAAAAGTGCAAACATAACAGTAAGGTAAAAACAGTCTCTACAAGCCTAGCCAGGAATCAGTCCCTACACCATATTCTTTTCTTCTTCATGGTCGATAGTGCATCATCCTCATTGCCAAATTCACCATTGTCGGGCTTACTTAGTGGCATCTTGTTCCAGGTGTCAAATGATGATCTGACAAGGTCCATCTGTGTCATCTCTCTGAAGTCCAATGGCTGAGACTGCAAGAATGTTGTTCTTAAGGAAAGCAAGCCATTGCGGACATCGAAAGAACAATGGCAAAAAGCCTCTGAGTTATCATCGTATGTAGGATCTACATACTGGCTTAAACAAGGTTTTTTTATTGGCCAATTGCACTTCATTTATAATCAGAAAGATGTAGGGGAGCTCTAAAAAATTGCAACAGAAAAAACTGTAATGAAGTATGCTTTCAAGGAGGCAGCGTTGACCTGCACCAAACTGGTTCGGTGCATGGATGACCGATACTCTCCTATGAGCCCCTATGCCCTAGAATCACTATGAAATCATTTTCCCTGTGACCTGAAGTCAGACTGAGGCTAAGGGAATATTTTTCGCTTTTTTTCACTTTTACGAGTTTGTATGCGAGCGGATTGAATATTTTTGTACATTTATTCCTGCGATGAGTTTTGCTTAGTCAGCCATGAGGGTGACTCAGACAGATTCTCACACATATCAGGTGACTGTGAAAAATATGTTTGCGTAAGGTTACCCTGTGGGAAAGCTTACAAATCACTAAACACGCGTCCTATGTCATTATGTTACCAGTCAATTCATCAGCCATAGATTTTATAAACATATGTACACAATATGTAATCATTTCTCACTCTTGTCTAGCTGAGTCATCAAGGGTCACCTGACCCATGAGCCATACGCAGCTCTTGCTGACTCATCATTATACCAACTAGAGTTATGAATATTTACTTTTGACTCAAAGATACCGTGTGACTTGGTGCTATCGAACTAAAGTTACAACTTTAAGTACGAGAAACTAGTAGTATAGCCACCAAATTTGTCTATATAAGGACCAGCTTTTTGCCCAATAAAACAAGCAGTTCCCCACTGTTTTTGACTCTCAGAATAAAATTGTGAGTGAAGTGTGAATCAGCAACCAGCAAGTGCAGTTCAAGGTTGGAGCTCACTGTGCTCAACAACCAGCAACACACTTTCGAGCTCATTGTGCTGAACAGCTAGCACATACCTTGAGCTCACTGTGTCTGACGACTAGCAAGACTAATTTTTCTTTTTCTGTTTTCTCCTGATTGTCTGTCTGAATTTCTCTGTTTCTTTTTGTGTCATTGTCTGTGTCTCTGTCTGTGAATCTCTCTGTGATTGTTTTTCTTTTTTTTCTCTCTCTGAGATCGTGTCTGAGATTCGTGACTGAAGCTCATGTTCTCTGTTTCTCTGTTTCTGTTTCTCTCTCTCTGTCTCAAGTGTGTGGTGTGTTGGTGACTGTCTATACTGACCATCTCTCTGATCGCTGTCTGTTTGCTTTGTGATCGTTGTTGCTAACAGTCTCCGTGATTGTGATTGTGATTGTGTTCGTGTTTTTGTTGTAGCGGTCTCGTGTTGTTGTTGTCTCAACCTATCAACTTTCTCTCAAGTACCAAAGTTTCAGTCTCATTCTTACCCAGAAGTTTGGTGTTGTCTCTTTTGTCCACGGAAGACTCTGATAGTCTAGTGGGGAGACTTTAGGTGTTGACAGTGAATCACCAACCTCAGACATCTGTGTGTTATACTGGGACAGTGTGGTCATTTGCGAGTTAGGCTTTAGCTATTGAAAAGGGGACTTGGTATTGAAGTCCAAGATCGCCCGTTCCTGAGTCTGTTTAATACTCATTGTGAGTTCCTTGGCAGCAGGTTCAATATTAGGCTAGAAGTGCTACGGTAGCTCTGACTAGGTCCGGCAGTAGTCTCACCTGTTTTTGTTCTTGAGGGGGATTATCATTGTAACTCCGCACAACTTGCTGCACTAAGTTTGTGTACGAATCCTTGTTGCTGTGTGAAGTGTTAGGAAGAGTGTCTGTTTGTTTTGTGTCATCTCTATATTGTTAGAGTGACTGTGTTTCCTGATTTGTTTTGTTGTTGTCTGGGTTGTTGTGATTGTTGTTGTTGTTGTTGATCACTGACTGACTGAGTTCTGTGTTTTTCTCTCATCGCTGTGTTTCATATCCATATTGGTGGATTGACTGTTGACTGCTGATCACTGACTACTGACTTTTTGTGCGAGCCATATTCTACTGACTGTATCTTAGGAGCTAGGCAAGCCACCCACGAACGACCACATTATCAGTCATTGGTATTTGTCTGAATCGCTGACCGTGGAGATATTTGGTTTTATAGGTGTTTATCTATAGATCATCTATCTAAGAAGACAGCGTGCTCCATGTTGTTGTGTTTGTGTTGCAGTGCCACTAAGTCCCTCCATTTTCAAAAAATACTGGACATTGTCTATGTAAGCAAGTGTAGTGCTTAAGAAACGGGAGACTGATTCAGTAACATGAGAGTTGGCTAAGATTCCACCGAAAAATGATGTTTGATCCTGGGTGTAAGTCGCACGACAGAGTAAGCATTCAACCTCAGTTTTTGCATTTTGGATGATTAAGGTGTCACCCTTGCCATACACATCATCGGGTAAGCTTTTGACATGCTGAAGGAGGAGACTCTCCATAAATGCACAGGGTTCTTTAATTAGCGCCAGCATCTCATCCCTGATGCTTTTCAAAGTGATTAGGCATGATGGGAGATCTGATCTGTAGATATTTTAATAATGTTTCATCTTCTCCATTTATAGACATGACATACAATGTGTCATTCTCATCATCATCTGTCTCGAGCTCAGATGTGCCAGTCTCATCCTCATCATGGCCTAGGGCTACAGCAAGTGACTTTTGGATCTCTTGTATTTCCTGTGATGGTTTGGTGAGTCGAAGCCGACACACTACCTCTGCAGAGGATACTCCCATTGACACTGCCCAACTTGAATGTCCTCTCAAGAGGCTGTTCCTCAGACACTCCGAATACTGACTCCATTCCTCAAACTGACCACAACACTGAGTCCCTGGCCGCCAGTCATGGGAAACATGTTCAACAGATTTCAAAGTGCAATGATGTTGCTAACTCAATTCAAGACTGGCATGCCAATTGTGCAGAAATGTGTTCATTTAAAAGCAAGAATCAGAAAAGCCAATTTTAATAAAATTGAACACAAGATGCACAAGTTAACACCACATCAGTGCATGTGAGGGACTTGCAGAGAGATGTGTACTCGTGTATGGGTCAGTCTATAATGAAATATAAGTGGGATACATTGATGGGATGCAGACACATTACCTGTAATGGGTTAGAGCACAGATACATTGAGACACAGATACATTACTGGTAAAGGACAGATACATCACTCAATACATCACCTACAGTAGCTTGATACATTGATGGGATGCAGAAGTGTTGAGGTATACGAGCTGTCCGTGTACCATCCTGAGGACACATCAGCTAAAGACTAGCGGAGAGGAAAGTCGGAGCTTAAGTAATGTGGCAGGTAGTTCAAGTATATATATAACCGCTGGAGTGTTCTGAAAAAAATTAGACCGCTCTGAACACCCTATCCGTGTAAAGCTCGTAATCCTGAAAAATTATGAGCCCTGCTTAATCGTATAACAAACCTCAAAAGAAAAGACAACCAATTTATGCTACGCAAATAAATACATATCTATAATCAAAATGACCGACCCAAATGCCAATCCTAATGTCCAGACATCTCAGTCTTCCCAGACTTCCCCATGTACGAACTTAGGATCAGTCTCATCCTATAAAATGGGAGAGCTTAAAGATGACAACTGGATGATGTGGAAGGAGAAGATCAAAATGGTTCTCCAAGTCCACAAAGTCCATGGTCATATAGATGGGACCTGTAAAAGGCCCACAGATCCTAACAAGAAGAAACAGTGAGAGAAAGACAACCAAATTGCTTGGACCATCATCCTCATTAATTTGAAGGATGAACAAGTAGTTCATGTGTCACGAGCGAAGACGGTCAAAGAAGCATGGGATAATCTGAAGACGATTCATGAGACAAGGAGTCAGTTGAGTGCGCTAATTGTGAAATGCACCTTCTATTCATTGCAAGCCAAAGAAGGCTGTGATATTAAGGTACATGTCACCAAGATGATGAACAAGCGCAATCAGCTCGACATCATGGGATGCGAGATACCTGATGCAGAGTTCAAAGCACTTCTCGTGATGTCATTGCCGAAGTCTTGGGAGTCATGGACTACATCCTATTTAGGTGCACACGCCGATAAGGGCAAGTCACAAAAAATCGCTGGCTATACATCACAAGAACTTATCTTGATCATCATTGATGAATACAACCGTCGCAAGAGCCAAGATACCCAAGAAAAGGGGTATTATGCCAAAGCCAAAAAAGGGGGCAAAAAGTGAAAGGTTGAAAAGAAAGATGAAGGTCCGAAGAACTGAGCGAAGTGTAACATCTGTGGACATAATAATCATCCTACAGATAGGTGCCGGTTCAAGAACGTGCCGAAATGTAGCTCCTGCAGGAAGTTCGGGCACGAAACCAAGGACTGCTGGGGAAAAGACAGTCCAGGTCCATCTTCGAAGAAGTATAAAGGAAAGGAGCGTGTGAACATGGCACACGACGAGCAGGATAACAAACCTATGGATGAGGACAAAGCATTTGTAGTCTCCAAAAATGTATCCATGAATGAAGGCTCTGACGAGTGTGTTTCCTTTTGCTTTGGCCAATGGATAGCCCACTCAGCAACCACGTCTCATATAATGAGCAGAAGAACTGCCTTCACTGAGTACACTCCGCTACAAAAAGAAATTAGCGGAATAGGAAAAGTACCAGTTGAAGCAATAGGATGTGGAACAGTCGAGATCACGACAAAAGTCAGAAACAAAGCTGTTCATATATTGTTGAGAGACGTTTTACACGTACCAACAGCAGGAAATAACCTACTCTCTATAAGTCGGCTCGACAAACAAGGTGGAAGAGCTATAATTGGAAAAGGGCAGATTAGTTTGCTCGATGAAAAACACTGTACAATAGCCACCAGTCGACGAGAGAATAGACTGTACTTCTTGGACATGTTTACCAAGAACTACGACGAACAGATAAATACGGCTAAAGACAAAATAATGTGGAAGCAATGGCACGTCAGATATGGCCATATAGGCATAACGGGACTCGAACGCTTACTCAAAGACGAGCTAGTTGATGGTCTTGAAGTTGATGAAAACTCACCAATACCAGAGTGCGAGGCTTGTATACAAGCAAAACATTTGAGACAACCATTCCCCAAAGAATCTGAAAATTGATCAGCAGTTCTGGGAGAGATAACACACACTGACATGTGGGGACCATCACAAACCACTGCAATAACAGAGGTCAGATATTATATCACATTCATTGATGACTGTACACGATGATGCACAGTCAAATTCATGAAAACAAAAGACGAGGCCAGCTCGAAGGTTCAGGAATATATTTCCTATATAGAAAGACAATGGGAAACAATCCCGAAATGAATCAGAGCAGACAACGGCAAGGAGTACGTCAATAATACTCTACTCAAGTGGTGCCACCAGAAAGGAACCATAGTCGAATTCATGGCACCATATTCTCCCAAACAAAATGGTGTAGCCGAGTGATTCAATAGAACACTTGTAGAACTAACACGTGCAATGCTGTTAGCACGAAATTTGCCAAAAACATTATGGCCTGAGGCAGTGACTCACTCTGTATATCTCTGAAATCGAGCACATATGCATGCTCCACAGGGAACTACCCCAGATGAAAAATGGTCGGGGAAACGTCCAAACATATCACATCTACAAGAATTTGGAATATCAGTATGGGTCCTTCGAGAGGGAGAAAACATCTCCAAACTCAAACCGAAATCAGAAGAACACATATTTGTGGGCTTTTTAGACAGGCCAAAGGCAATCAAATACTATGACAAAAACACGCACCGAATAAAAGTATCATGAAACTATCAATTCTTCACGCCTAATGCACAGCGTGAGGGGGAGAAGGATAGAGTAAAAGACCCACTGCACATTAACACAGCATCCGCAATGAAAGATGTAGACAATCTAACGTCAAAGAAAGAAATTAGCGGAAAAAGAAAGAGAGAAAATGACATACCTGATGAGCTGAGAAGAAGCAGCAGACAAAAAGTCAAACACGATTATCAGATATTAAACGATCCGACAATAGAGCTAGAAGATACACCAGCTGAATTAGCAGCCCTCACAGAAGAAGATCAAGACGAGGAAGAGCTGATATACTCACCAGCAGAAGTGGTGTATGCTGCATTTAATGAGACTGGTGTCACACCAGAATATCCCAAGTCCTTAAAAGAAGCAAAGGAATCTTCCGAGTGGCCAGAATGGGAGAAAGCCATACATGCCAAACTAGACCAATTAAAAGACAAAGGCATGTGGAAACTTGTCGATCCCCCAAAGGGACAAGTTCCAGTAGCCAACAAGTGGGTTCTAGTACGAAAATTTGACAAAGAAGGAAGATTAGTCAAATATAAGGTGCGACTCGTAGCAAAAGGATACTCCCAAATCCCTGGTATGGATTACATGGACACATTTTCTCTGGTGGTCCAACTCGAGACAATACGAGCAGTTTTAGCACTAGCTGTATCTCAGAACTGGGAGATTCAACAAATGGACGTAAAGGGTGCTTACCTCAATGGAATCCTTAAGGAAGAAGTGTACATGAAACAGCCTGAAGGGTTCGAAGATGAAATTGAAAGGCTGTGCTGTCTAATAAAGACACTATATGGGTTAAAACAGTCAGGACGCGAATGGAATACCGAGTTAAATAAGCAGCTCAAGGCAAAGGACTTCAAGCCGCTATACTCAGATCCATCTGCATACATTCGCAAAATGAAAGGGGGAACCGAGATCATAACTGTATGGGTGGACGACTTACTAATATTCACGAGCGACAAAAAATTGATGGACGAAGTGAAGTGAGAGCTTTAGAACATGTTCAAAATCACTGATCTATGGGAGCTGCACAAAATAGTTGGGATAGAGATCACGAGAGACCGTAAAAACGGCACACTCATGATTTCTCAGACCAAATATATCAAGTTGATCCTGGCAAAACATGGACTTCTAGATGCAAACTCAGTGGGAATGCTGCTCAATCCATCTATGAAACTCGAACCCACCATTAAATCAGCCGACAAAGGAGACCAAAGTAACAATTATGCTTCGCTCATAGGGTCGCTAATGTATGCAGCTGTTGTGACAAGACCGGACATTGCATATGCAGTGTACAGGCTCGCATCATATACGGCTAATCCTGACATGACACACTGGACTGCGGCGAAACAGATTTTGCGTTATCTCAAAGGGACAAAGGACCTAGGTATAACTTACAAGGCGAATGTCCCAAGAGATGACAAAGAACATTTTGTCAGATATTCTGATGCAAGCTTCGCCAATAACGATGATAAAACATCAGTTTTGGGATATGTCTTCTTGTTGAGTGGAGGTGCTATAACATGGGGATCCAAGAAGCAAAACACTGTGTCACTCTCCACGACAGAAGCAGAGTACATTTGCCTTTCAGATGCAGCGAGAGAGGCAACATGGCTCCGAAACTTGTATAAAGAACTGGGGTGTGAGCAAAATGGTCCCACATTGATCTATGGGGACAATATAAGTGCATTAGCTATTGCTCAGAATCCACAGTATCACAAATGGACGAAGCATTTCAACATAAAGCATCACTATATTCAGAGCCAAGTACACAAGAAACGAATCAGTGTAGTCTACAAGCCCACGGCACAAATGACAGCCGATATTATTTTCACCAAAGCACTACCTAAACCCAGCCATGAGAGACATAGAACTCAACTGGGTATGTGATCCTCAGTCTGAGGGGGAGTGTTGAGGTATACGAGCTGTCCATGTACCATCCTGAGGACATGTCAGCTAAAGACTAGCGGAGAGGAAAGTCAGAGCTTAAGTAATGTGGCGGGTAGTTCAAGTATATATATAACCGCCGGAGTGTTCTGAAAAAAATTAGACCACTCTGAACACCCTATCCATGTAAAGCTCGAAAGAAGTAAAGCTTTAAAGGGTCAGAACACAGATACATCACCCAGAATGAGATAGAGCGCAGATACATTACCAGTAAAGGGTTAGAATGCAGATACATCACCTACAGTAACTCAAAAGCCAATGGGTCAGAGTATGGATACATGACCTGGAATGGGATAGAGCACAGATACATCACCCAGAAAGGGCCAGAAGCATCCATGCTTGGAGGGAACAGTGGAGAATCAGATGTTGATACATCACCTACAGTAGCTCAAAAGCACATAGTGAATTAGAGCATTGATGTATCCCACTTGTACAGTGGTCACAATATATTTGATGTATCAATATGGTGTTATAGACTGGCTGCCAAGCATTGGCAACATTTGCCAGTTTGGTGAGAAATGGCAAGTAATTGCAGGCTGACTATCATGATTGTGCTTTTGGCAGTTTCCATCCAACTTACTCTGGGTATATAAAGCATTTTCTAGTGAACTACCATTTTGATAGATATTGTACAAATTTTAAGTCAGGTAAAGCTTGACAAAAGTTTACCATTTTCACATCACTTCCCTGATGACAAGTATCACAGGATTGATCTCCTGCCAGCCTCATATCTAATAAATTGAATCATTTCAAATGTGCTGTACCATGCCCAGTAAATGAGTGATTCAGAGGTAACAGTTAGACCAATCATTATCTAATAAGGTGAGAGGTTCGGAATACAGCGCTAGCGGGCCAGGGCTGCCATAACTGCACAGCACTATTGAAAAAATGGTTGGTTCACCGAGATAAGAAGGGAGGGGACTTTACAGAGTTATGCACTGCAACTATATACAGCAGCTTGTGAGTTCAACGTTCAACGTCATCAAAACGTGACGAGGCGTGACGTCGCAAGTGCCGTCATGCCCGCGAAGTTTGGCAATTCTAAAAGGAACGGCTAAATTTGGGAACAATCGTTTCGTTCCTGCATGATGTCAGGATCAGCAAGCGTACTTCGCACTATGCAGAGACGTACTATGTACGGTAGACTGCAGATGAGGCCATAACATTTGTTACTTGGCTCATTTTTGGGGTCGGGGACGATACGTGTGAAGGAATCCAACAAGTCAAATGCGCCTAATTCCGATTCGCAAGACGCCGAACGAATTGTTCCGGTGACAGACAGCCGTTATCACAATGTGGAGTAAATCAGATGCAATGAGGACAATTTACTGCCGATTCTGCTCGTAATTTCCACTACATCGAAGTTGATATAGATCAATTCCGATATCAATGATACCTTTGTTGAGAGTGCTCAAATGAAAGCCTTGCTCACATTGACCCTATTTCATTCTGGCGAAGAGCCGAACCTGAGTAACTCGCAATTGTTGCAGACCGTTAGAACCTCTGGATTCGGTATGCGGACATTGAACACACTAGTATTAACACGAGGATCGTGTAAAACGAAACAGGTAAAAGGTGGTGTTTATAAACGTGTCCAATTGAGCTCACAGGGTTGCGTCGTCAGAACGATGAAAATAAAATAACTAAAATCCATCAAAGTCTAGTAGAGAGGTCAGATGCTATCAAGCTACAAGAAAACAGACGAACATATATATTACATGTTCACTTGATCCGAGGTGGAGCACGAAGAGCGAACTGAAGCCGACTGGTGGGCTCTGGTGTGTGGTAATACAGAAGAATGCCGATGTACGGGGGATACGACGTCGCAGGGGAAGGTCATGAACATAATCGACGGCACTGGTTGGGCTATCTTGGAAGTAGTGAGACGTGTTCAGAGTGTATGCTAAGCACAACAAGTTTGGAATACGAACCGCCACTGATCTCCATCGCGAGTAAGAAAAAGGGTATGGTGTCCTTTCAAGGACCACGGGGTCGCTGAGTGGTGGGTGAGTTGCGAGATTGTTTTCGTGCCTCTTCCTCCGTTCGAGCCAGTTTGCGTCTTGCTTTCTCTTCTGCAACTCTCCTGGACTCCGTCCACAGTTCGAGAGTATAGTCATGCAGAGTCTTGGAGTATGATA